AAAATATATGTAATTCCTTCTCTCTTATCAGAAAGAATTTCAAGAAAAGTAGCCTAAATATTGGTGTAGATAATTAAGAAAGACAGATTTTCACTGTTATGTTCACAATGCAAGTTTTTAGGAGATCCTCCTATACCTCAGTAGCTGTCTGAATACTCTCTTCATTGACATCTTCATTTCTTGGTTCCTGAATGTATAAATCACAGGATTGAGGAAAGGAGTAACAACTGCATCAAATAGGGCCAGAAACTTATCCAGGTGTGTCGAAGGAGAAGGCCATGTGTAGATAAATATCAAAGGACCAAAGAACAGGACTACCACAGAGATATGAGCTGAAAGTGTGGACAGAGCTTTGGAGGAACCACCTGAAGAGTGTTTCTGAACACTGACTATGATGACAATATAGGAAATGATCAGTATGATAAGAGAACCCACAGATATGAATCCACTATTGGTTGTGACCATGAATTCTAGTTTACGGGTGTCTATACAAGCAAGTTTGATGAACCGAGGAAGGTCACAGAAGAAGCTGTCCATCATGTTTGAGCTACAAAAAGGTAAGTTTACTACAAAAGCCAGTTGAACTACAGAGTGTATAAGGCCAACCACCCAGGCAGCCACTAAGAAAGAGATGCACATTCTTGGGCTCATAATGGTCAGGTAGTGAAGAGGCTTACATATGGCCACATATCTGTCAAAGGCCATGGCTATGAGCAGCACCATCTCCACTCCACCCATGACATGGATGAAGAAGATTTGAGTGACACAGTCTCTGAAAGAGATGACTTTGTGCTTTCTGAACAGGTCATAAATCATCTTAGGACTAGTGACACAAGAAACCCCTAGGTCAATGAAAGAAAGATTGGCCAGCAGAAAGTACATGGGAGAGTGTAAGTGAGAATCAAAAACCACTGTGAAGATAATGAGGGAATTTCCCATCATGCTTGCCACATAAAACAAGGAGGAGAACACAAAGAGAAAAAGCTGGACATCCCAGGAGTTGGTGAGTCCCAGGAACACGAACTCTGATACTCCAGAGCGATTGGCTCCTCCCATTGGCTTTTGGTCAGTGCTACCTGAAGGAGGAAACAGGAGAAACTGAAAAGTACGTTAACAGACTAGAAGGATATTAAGAAAATTAGGAAAGTCTGTTTTTACTTTGACATTAAAAACAAACTAAAGGCTAACATATATATGAGAGAGTGGACACATCGCTTACTATCAGCAAACTGAACTTTGAAATCTTATTCAAATATCACTTTATACCTATTAAAAAGAGTTTTTATCAAGTAGTCAAAAGCAAGTTTAGAGTGGATATAAAAAATCGAACTCCTTAAACAGAGACCATATCAATTAGAGGATCTATTAAAGAAAAAAAGCATGATGAAACCTCAAAAAATTAAAAACAGGGTTTTCTTGTGTAGCTCAGCAGTAGAACACTTGCTTCCTAAGGCACTGGCCCTGGTTTTGATGCCCAGCACTGCAAACAGAGAAAAAGGAAGGAAGGAACAAAGGAAGAAAGGAAGGGAGAGGAGGAAGGTACGAGAGAGTGAGGGAGCGATTAAAACTATCATATGATTAAGCAACACTACTTTTTACACAGTCCATAAAGTCAGAAGAAATGACACCACCATATGCAAGCAATATTCTCGTGTTCATTGCAGTATCACTTACCCTAATCAATACTGAAAACTGAATGTTCATTGACATGTTAGTAGCATGCATAGAGCACCAAAACTTCATATCTAAAAAACATTGCAAAATATATTAGCTCCTTTTAATAAAAGAATATTCTGGCACTAGAGAGATGCCTCAGTGGTTAAGAGCACTGACTGTTCTTGTAGAGCACCTAGGTTTCATTCCCAGCACCCACATGGCGGCTAACAGTCATCTGTAACTCCAGTTCCAGGGGATCTGAACCCTTCTTCTGACTTCCATGGGCATTACATGACATGAGTGTTTTTCCACAGATGCAGACAATGTACTCATACACATAAAGTAATAATGAAAAATCATAAATAAAAAAAGGATCAAGGTAGAGGGAAAACTGACTTAAAAATAATGAAATTAAATTATTTTCAAAATAGAATAACTGATTCTTATTTGATAACATATTATGTCCATAATGTCTTGGTGATGAAAATATAAACTTTCAACTTAATTAAATATAGTTCCTCTCTAAGAACACTAGCATCTTTTTGGTGCTTACTACAAATTGAATTCATTGATTGATTTCCTTCTCAAATAAATGCAACTCCCATAAAGTTAAGGACTACACCCCTCTTCTGTTCCATGCACCATTAATCTCAAATCACAAGAACATAGTGTAAATATTTGTTAAAACAGAGAAAAATGACATTTCAATAATTTTTAAAACTCATGAAATACATGATTATATAGTCAAAGAAGACAGGTGGAAGAGACTAGGCAGAGTTCTAAAGTCACAGAGAATTAGATATTAAGACAGTGCAAAAGTAAAGTAGATTAGAGGAAAAGAAATAAATGAGATTCAAAGGAAAATCCAAAAATGTGCTAAGAAAATTGAATAGCTTATCATAATTATGAAAAGAAAGAGAAAAAGGGCCTTTTAACAAAATGATACTTTATGAGGTATAATTTTCATTGACTTTTGGAGCCACTCACCAGTACTTGTATAACTAATAATAGTACTATATATTCAGATGTGGTTTAAGTTTTTATTGGCATGCATTTGTTACACAGTGACAAATTTTATACAGGAATTTTCCTATAATTCTTTTTAGACAGCATACAAATTAATTGGTTTTTATTGTGTCTTTAGGGACAATAAAAAGTTTTTAAGCCCTAAAGCACTTAAGCTGATGCACTAAATAAGCTATGAATTTATTGTCTTTTTACCTCCAATCTCCATAATCTAGTAAGAACTAGCAATTGTTTAAAGTGAGTTTAGCTGACTGTAGTGACTAATGCCTGATATCCCAGAACTTGGCAGGCTGAAGCAGGAGTATTGCCACAAATTCAACGCCACCTTGGATATACAATGAGTTCTAGGCCAGCCTTAGCAAGAGCAAGACCATATACCAAAAGTAAAGAAAGAGGAAGAGAAAGAAAGAGAGAGAAACAGAGAGATTAAAGTATGGTGAGATGTGTCTGTGAAAGAAATATCAGAGTATGTCACAGATTATAACATCTGAAAACTTATAATCACTTGACACACAGTCAAAATCTAAGTTTCATTCTAGACAAAGCCATATAGGCCTTTCTTGATTGACATATAAGACATGAAGTTCATTTGCTTAGAAGTCATAAATACCTATAAGGGAAACTCCTAAAAGACAGTGTTTGTAATTGAGACATCTTAGAGACAAAGTTTTTTAAAGTATTGTTTCTTTGGGGGGGAATTGGGGTTTTCTGGTTTTCTGGGAGAGGGTCTCACTATGTAGCCCCAGCTGACCTGGAACTTGCTATGTAGACCAGGCTAATCTAGCTCTCACAAAGATTATTCTACCTCTGCTTTCTGAATACTAGGCATAAAGGCCTGAGCCACTATGCCCAGCTGAGGTACTGTTTCTTAAGCATATTCTTTACGTTCATTTATAACTAATGAAATATCTATGATAAAAAAACACCAACCTATGCCTTTGACTAGTGTAATCAATTATCCTTTTTCTTTAGGTACAGAGAATTAGCAAATCCGAGAAAACATACAGTAATCCTTCTACATTGAGGAACTATTTAGCTATAAGAGTCTTAACAGTCATCTAGTTCAATGGCCCAGTAGAACAATGTGCTCATGTAAGCCATCACCACTATGTTTCCTCCTCAGTCTAGAAGTATTGAAAGTTCATCAGCTCCCTCAGTTGAAATTTTCCATGGTTTTACTTCTCAAATTGGTAAGAACATTTCTATTTTCATGTATTATTGTGGGAAATATCAATAACTCTGCTTTTCAAATAAATATATAATAAAATGGCCTCACAGATGTCAATTCAGAAGACTCAGTAAACTAAATCTTTGTTTTCATATTTGATTTTGAGACAGTGTCCTGCCCAGGCTGGCCTCAAACAAATGGCAAATCTACTGCTTCCATTTCCCAAGGGCTGAGATTACAACTGTGCACTGTCAAGCCAAATCCAAATATCTTTTTCAATACATTTCATGCTAGTTTGATTCTCCTTCTCACCTTCTAACACCTTAGAAACTCTTTGACTCTTCTCTGTTCTTCCTATGGTTCAGAAATAAAGTTAGTACAAAAACTAGTCATCTACCTTATAATAAAAAAGAAAATTAAATCTAACTACTGGTACTGCTAGCTATTATTTTGTTTTGAAAGTGTCTGCATCATATTTACATGAAATTGCACTGGAAAGAATGTTTTCAGCATTGGATCATTTAGTGTCTATGTCAAATAATATTTTTGTCAAGTGTCTAAGACATTCTTCCTCCTGGCAAATTGGGCAGGTTTCCCTTAAACGTGTTTCTATTTTAGAGCTGATCAGCGTATGCTCATCTCTTGAAAAGTCCATGGATAGAAAAATATCAATAAATATTTGTTTGGCAATTAGTAGAGTATAAGATCATTTACACAATCAACAGAAAATAAAATGATTGATCACAACATATGCTGAATACAAAATATCACAAAGTTTTTGATGTTTTCCAATGCCATTTACATATTTCCAGGTAACAATGTGGTTTCACAAAAGGTCAAAATCATCCATATTTTCCAATATGTCAATGAACTGTCTTACAAGCATCTTCTTGTTCTGCTCAAATGCTTTTCCTGATGGATCTGCTTTACTTCAGGTTCACAAGAGCAGTTTAGGATATGACTCATGTTCATAGCAAGTCCAACAACAAACTCACATCTGGAAATAAAGCAATCTTATTAAATTTGCTTCCAGCCAACTTTTACCTGTAGAAAAAAACCAAAATCTTCACAGATTGCCTTATGTGCTCCAATACAAACTACCACATAATATCCAAACATATATATATATAGCTAATTATAGATACCTCAAGTGGAAAAAAAATACTGTAAGCACATAATTATTTTTAAATGCTTGTAGCTTTGGGACTTTTTCACTAGAGGACCATTCGATTTGTCCAGAGTAAGCAAAGGACTTGAGATCTTGGTATACAATACTAGAAACAAAGAAAAAAAATGTGAAGTTTTGTGTTGTGCTATTTTGTTGTATATATTTATAAATACTCAGTATGATTAATTTATAATTTATAATAGGTAAATATTAACTTAAAACCTATACACTCAACTCCAAAAAAATACAATATGCTAAATCCACTATGACATGTAGATTTGGCTGTACAAAAGTTTGCTATAATGAATAAAGCTTAAAAGTGAAACAACTATAGAGTCAAATTTGTGTCCTCAAATGTTCTTCAGTGGATCCATTCACTGGAGCCTGGCTAACCTACCAAGAGTCATACCTTTGAAAGAGACAGACCCTACACTTCCAGCAGAAATTGGTTTTAAATACTTCCTCAGGCACAGTTTCTTTTTTAATATTTTTATTCATTATTTTTATTTTATGTGTGTATGCATGTATTGCCTGCATGTATGTAAGTGTACCCATGTCATGCAATCCTCAAGGAGATCAGAAGAGGATATCAGATCCCTTGGATCTAGAGTTACCAATTATTGTTAACTGTCATGTGGGTACTTAAGACTCTAACCTAGGTCCTCTGCAAGAGCAGCCAGTGCTCAACTGCTGAGCCATCTCACTAGCCCCCAGACTGGAGTTTCTTATCTATCCACTTCTCCACATCTATGCTGGGACTTTGAATGGCTTGAGCTTGCATGGGACTTGCACATGCTGTCACCATTGCTGTGAGTTTATTTGAGTAACTGACCAGCTATCTAGAAAACTCTATTTTCTTGTGGTCATCTCCTACCTCTGGCTGACTTAAAATCTTTCTGCCACTTCTTCCACAATGATCGCTTATCCTTTGGAGGCAAAAGTTTGATATAGGTCTTTACATACACACACACACACACACACACACACACACACACACAGAGAGAGAGAGAGAGAGAGAGAGAGAGAACAAGAAACTGA